GTTCAAAATAATAAATAAATAAATAAATAAATAAATAAATCAGGAGTCTGATTGGAAGGCAGAACTGTGAGCCTTTCTGGTGTTTGTTGTTGACTAGCTGTGTTGTTGATCCTTTCTGCTCTCCCCCTCATTATTGATAAAATCAGGGTAATGATGAAATAAAATAACATTTTAGCACATTTTTCGTAGTTTTTTAATGTTTCATGTATTTTTAAAAATCATATGACGTGTACAATAAAATCAAAGAAATTGTGCATTCTGACTGTAACTCAAAAATGGTTATACAGTGGACCCCTGGATTACGTTCCAGAGAGAGAACTTATCTTGAATCTGACTTATTCCGTATTAATTTTCCCCATAAGAAATAATGGAAATCCAATTAACCCTTTGACTGTCGCGGCCGTATATATACGTTTTACGAGGTGCCGTGTTTGACGTATATATACTCATAAATTCTAGCGGCTTCAAATCAAGCAGGAGAAAGCTGGTAGGCCCACATGTGAGAGAATGGGTCTGTGTGGTCAGTGTGCACCATATAAAAAAAATCCTGGAGCACGCAGTGCATAATGAGAAAAAAAAAACTCCGACGTTTTTTTTTAATTAAAATGCCGACTTTGTTGTCTATTTTCGTATAGTATTTATGGTTGTATTCTCGTTTTCTTGGTCTCATTTGATAGAATGGAAAACATATTACAGAAATAGAGGTGATTTTGATTGATTTTACTATAAAAAGAACCTAGAAATGGAGCTCAAAGTAGGGGAAATGTTTTGATTTTTGCAATGTTCAAAAGTAAACAAATGATGCCATTGTCCAATAAATGTCCAACTAGCCATTCTAATATGCAATCTGAATGGGTTGATGTTATTTATACAGTTATTACAGCATTGCAGTAGTCTGCATAATAGTAAGTCTAATATTTTTTGTTTGAATAAAATTCAAAATAGAAAGCAAGAGTAATATCAGAAGGGCCTGGAGACGTGACTGATGAACAAAGAAAACGTTATTTTAGAGCCAGGAATGTCTGCATTGTTCATTCTGGACCTTATTTTGAAATTGTCATATTTTTTAGTTTTCGTGAAATTGGCCAAATTGCAAATTCTGACCACATTATTAGGTAGTTGAAATCAGTAAATGGGCAGTTTCTTGTATTCAATCGATAGAAAAAATGAAGTTCTAAAGAAATAGCTATGAGTTTGGGCGACTGGAACAATGGAATTAGCCGAAAATAGGGCTCAAAGTGGGCGAAATCGCGGCGAGGTCGCTAACTTCGCGAGAGCATAATTCCGTCAGTTTTCCATCAAATTTCGTTTTTTTTGTGTCATTACAATCGGGAAAAGATTCTCTATCATTTCATAAGAAAAAATAATTTTTTTTTTTTTTAAATTTTGCGACACCAGGAGACACCTCAGGATTGGGGGTTGCGACAGTCAAAGGGTTAATCCGTTTCAGACACCCAAAAGTATTAAAAAATGTGTTTTCTACACGAAATATACATTTACCTACACAGAAAACAATAATACATGAAGAATAAAGCAATAACATCACACTTACCTTTATTGAAGACGAAGACATGGTGATGTATGGAAGCCGGGAGAGGCTGGAGGAGTTTACAATTGTTTGGAAGGGGAATCCCTTTCCAGAATGAACAATGCAGACACTCCTGGCTGTAAAATAACATTTTCTTTGTTCATCAGTCACATCTCCAAACCCCTCTGATATTACTCTTGCTGTCTATTTTGAATTTTTATTCTATCAAAAAAATAGAAGATTTACTGTTATGCAGACTACTGTAATATTGTAATAATTGTATAAATAATGTCAACCCATTCATGACTACATATTAGAATGGCTAGTTGGACATTTATTGGACAATGACATAATTTGTTTACTTTTGAACATCGGCAAAAATCAAACATTTCCCCTACTTTGAGCTCCATTTCAAGGTTCTTTTCATAGTAAAACCAATCAAAATCACCTCTCTTTCTATATGTTTTCCATTCTGTCAAATGAGACCAAGCAAATGAGAATACTACCATAAATACTATACAAAAATACACCACAAAGTCGGCATTTTAATCCAAAAACACGGTCGGATTTTTTTTTCTCATTATGCACTGCATGCTGCAGGATTTTTTTTATATGGTGCACACTGACCACACAAACCCATTCTCTCGCATGTGGGCCTACCAGCTTTCTCCTGCTTGGTTTGAAGCCGCTAGAATAATTGAGTATACATGTACGTATATACGTTGAATATGGTGGCTCATAAGACGTATATATGTGACAGAAACAGTCAAAGGATTAATCCAGGGGTCCACTGTAACTTCTTTCAATGCATTGGACACATCCCACCAAAGCAGGATGACCCAAAAAGAAAAATATAAGTTTCTATTTTTAACTTTAGTAATGTATACAGGAGAAGGGGTTACTAGCCCCTTGCTCCCGGCATTTTAGTTGCCTCTTACAACACGCATGGCTTACGTAGGAAGAATTCTATTCCATTTCCCCATGGAGATGAGAGGAAATAAACAAGAACAAGAACTAGTAAGAAAATAGAAAACCCAGAAGGGTGTGTGTGTGTGTGTATATTTGTTCGTACATGCATGTGGTAAGTTACTAAATGCTGTAAAGAGCTTTTATGAGGATAGTGAGGCTCAGGTTAGGGTATGTAGAAGAGAGGGAGAATACTTCCCGGTAAAAGTAGGTCTTAGACAGGGATGTGTAATGTCACCATGGTTGTTTAATATATTTATAGATGGGGTTGTAAAGGAAGTAAATGCTAGGGTGTTCGGGAGAGGGGTGGGATTAAATTATGGGGAATCAAATTCAAAATGGGAACTGACACAGTTACTTTTTGCTGATGATACTGTGCTTATGGGAGATTCTAAAGAAAAATTGCAAAGGTTAGTGGATGAGTTTGAGAATGTGTGTAAAGGTAGAAAGTTGAACATAGAAAAGAGTAAGGTGATGAGGGTATCAAATGATTTAGATAAAGAAAAATTGGATATCAAATTGGGGAGGAGGATATGTACTTGGGAGTTGACGTGTCGGCGGATGGGTTTATGAAGGATGAGGTTAATCATAGAATTGATGAGGGAAAAAAGGCGAGTGGTGCGTTGAGGTATATGTGGAGTCAAAAAACGTTATCTATGGAGGCAAAGAAGGGAATGTATGAAAGTATAGTAGTACCAACACTCTTATGTGGATGTGAAGCTTGGGTGGTAAATGCAGCAGCGAGGAGACGGTTGGAGGCAATGGAGATGTCCTGTCTAAGGGCAATGTGTGGTGTAAATATTATGCAGAAAATTCGGAGTGTGGAAATTAGGAGAAGGTGTGGAGTTAATAAAAGCATTAGTCAGAGGGCAGAAGAGGGGTTGTTGAGGTGGTTTGGTCATTTAGAGAGAATGGATCAAAGTAGAATGACATGGAAAGCATATAAATCTATAGGGGAAGGAAGGAGGGGTAGGGGTCGTCCTCGAAAGGGTTGGAAAGAGGGGGTAAAGGAGGTTTTGTGGGCTAGGGGCTTGGACTTCCAGCAAGCGTGCATGAGCGTGTTAGATAGGAGTGAATGGAGACGAATGATACTTGGGACCTGACGATCTGTTGGAGTGTGAGCAGGGTAATATTTAGTGAAGGGATTCAGGGAAACCGGTTATTTTCTAATAGTCGGACTTGAGTCCTGGAAATGGGAAGTACAATGCCTGCACTTTAAAGGAGGGGTTTGGGATATTGGCAGTTTGGAGGGATATGTTGTGTATCTTTATACGTATATGCTTCTAAACTGTTGTATTCTGAGCACCTCTGCAAAAGCAGTGATAATGTGTGAGTGTGGTGAAAGTGTTGAATGATGATGAAAGTATTTTCTTTTTGGGGATTTTCTTTCTTTTTTGGGTCACCCTGCCTCGGTGGGAGACGGCCGACTTGTTGAAAAAAAAAAAAAAAAACATGCATGTGTAGTGTGATCTAAGTGTAAGTAGAAGTTATAACTTTAACCATAATGTTTAAAGAGGTGGACCGGTAAGCCAGTGGAAGGCCTCGGTCAGATGACCAAAAGCTCCATCGGTGGGTCGTCTGACTAAGATCCACGTCAGGAAACTCTTGTTCTGTTTCTTGACGAACCTTTTACCTAACCTAATCTCTGACTATAAAATAGTGAATTTTTAGTTACATTTTTGAGAAAACATTATGCATTTATCTGCAATTCTCTAAATGTAGTAGACTGGAGATCCAGAATCCCCCGGGGTAAAAAAAAAAAAAAAAAAAAAATAGTGCCTCTCAAAGCACTTTCTTTGTGGTGTGAAGTCTAAAAAAAAAGTCATCCTTATTGGTCTCTTTTTTGAGAATCTTTATAGTAAAAATTTTTTTAACATGCCAGCCATTTTCCACTGACGTAGGGTGACCCAGAAAAAGGAAAATACATTCACCATTATTCATTCAGCTACTGTCTTGCTAGAAGAATGCTGCCATCCCAGATCAGATGGCTTACAGACTGCAACACTCCCACCCCCTTTTGCAGAGTGCAGGCTCTGTACTTCCTACCTCAGGAATTAAAAGTCTGACTAACCAGTTTTCTCTTGAATCCCTTCATAAATGATGCCTCACTCAGACTCAGCAGCACGTCAGGTCATAACCACTTTTTTCACTCAATCTGATTTAATACGCTCGCACAAGCCTGTTAGATGTTCAAGCCCCTAGCACTCAAAGCCTCTTTTATGCCCCTCCTTCCAGCCATTCCTGGGATGACCCTTCTTTTCACCACAGATTTATATATCCTTCAATCATCCTATTCAGCTCCATCCTCTCTATGCCAAAACCACCTCATAAGCCTCTCACCAGTCCTCTGAATTATCCTTTTGGCAACCCCCACAGTGCCTCTAATCTCCTTGTTCTAGATTATATGTATAACATTCACACTATATTTTGCCCTCAAACATGACATTTCTACTGAATAATATTAATGTTTCTGGTATTTTAAATATGCCATTTTTAAATTTTTCAGCTAATGAATTATACGAAGCAGCAATGGGCATTTTAAATCAGACGAAACAAGAGCAAGATGAACGCCAAGCGTACACTCTCTTACAGTCAGCAGCAGAACTGGGCCACACTGAATCCCGACAAAAAGTTGCATGGGCACGACTGCTTGGTAGGCATCTTAAATCCAACATCACAGAAGCTGTTGAAATTTTTGAAGACTTGGCCAGCAAAGGAAATGCTGATGCTCAAATGGTAAGTATCTGCATGCATGCCAGAGGCATTAAAGAACTGTATAAAAGTGGCAGTTGACTTGTGTTGAAAAATCTGTACAGGATTGAGGTTTTTTGGGAAATAAGTATCTGATAATGAGATTCACTAATGACCCACTCTTAGAGAGGAAACTTTAGATTACATTTTGATCCAGGATGGACACGAACATTGTCTAAAGTTTCTTTTCTAAGTGCTAGTTATTAACATGCAAGAATACATTCCTGTTTGATGTGCTGTATATAGTGCGTGCAGTGTATGAAATATATGATACGCATTCATGTAATGCATTTTAATTGTACAGTATGTATGTGTATCAAAGATTTTATATTGCATTTGCAGTATAATATATTTTTTTAACACTGGTATTCTTAATGCATTTTATTTTACACAGGGTTTGGGATTCATGTATGCTACAGGCATTGGCAAGAACTCCAGTCAAGCAAAAGCTTTGGTGCATTACACTTTTGGTGCTCTTGGGGGCAGTCAGTTGGCACAGATGGCCTTAGCATACAGATACTGGTCAGGCATCAGTGTGGCCTCCAATTGTGAAACAGCACTTACCTATTACAGAAAAGTTTCTCATACAGGTACTGTATTATGCTAAAGCTCCAAAACTTTATAACTATATAAAAAATTAACTTTTGTCCTTATCTTCTTTCCTCTAGAATTATTATTAGTAGTTATTACTTATCTCTATCTACAACTCAAATTATTTGAATACTTAGATTTAATGGTACAATAGTTTTGTGTTATTAAATAATAATTGTGCTGTTAATTTCTGTCATTCATTTGTGTAACTTGTAAGAGACTGCAACAGTCATAAGGAACTGGAAAAATTGCCTGTTAACCTTAAACTACCAAGAAATCCATTCAATCATATCTAAAACAGCTCAGAATCATTCAAATCTAAGTTTAAATGTACTGCAAAAATTGTCATATCACACTTTCCACCAACCAGTAACTTGTGATATCTAGTTCTTATTTTATTAAGAATTCTTCAGACAAAAAAAAATCATGGCACATTTGGCCTGTAGGATGGGGTTGTGGTTTTCTGAATATGACCTGTACTGCTACACTTGGCATTTTAAATTCCTCCTAGTGTTGTGCCCTAGTGATAGCTCTAAAGAGTGTTGTGTTAAAATTTCAAGTTGCTACAAAATTTGTGGACTGGGTAAATGCAAAGTACTCGAACTATTAAATGCACTGGCTTTTTTTTTTTTTTTTTTTTTTTTTTAACCTCAGTGGCCGTCTCTTGCCAAAGCAGGGTGACTTGTATATTAGAATATACTTCCACAAAACTCGTGTGACAGTTAGAAAATAAACATAGCTAGCTTGACTAGTTACTATGTAATTGACAATACTACTGTTATTACTACTCTCTTCTGCCCCTATATACAGCCTGTTTTCTCTCATCTTTCTCAAATATTTCAAGTGATAAGGTCCCAGGACCAAAACATTTTTCAATAATGGTATCCTAAGTGAATGCACGAGTGTCCTTAATTTTCAGTTCTAGCACACCTTTTAATGTGGCTTGTAATGGCAGCATCACTGCTGTAATTGTTAATTTATTGAAATATTATTAGGTTAGTGTGTAATTTGGCTTGATTTAATGTGCTTGCATAATTTTTTTTCAGTGGCAGATAAAGTATCAATGACAGGTAACAGAGCAATACAGCGAGTTCGCCTGGTGGATGAAGTAGACAGTCCTGGGTCATCATCTGCATTGCTTGATGATGATCTTATACAGTATTACCAGTTTCTCGCTGAGAAAGGGGATGTGCAAGCTCAAGTGAGTACATTTTTATTTTATAATTCAGTAGGAAATGACTAATGTAAACAAATCCCATGAGTTAATCAAACATTGTTGTGTATACTGTATATTATGCAAGGTTTTGCTTCTGCATATTAGTGAATTGATTAATATGCAATATAATTCTTTTTTCAACAAACCGGCCGTATCCCACCAAGGCAGGGTGGCCCAAAAAGAAAAACGAAAGTTTCTCTTTTTAAATTTAGTAATTTATACAGGAGAAGGGGTTACTAGTCCCTTGCTCCCAGCATTTTAGTCACCTCTTATGACATGCATGGCTTACAGAGGAAGAATTCTGTTCCACTTCCCCATGGAGATAAGATGAAGTAAACAAGAACTAGTAAGAAAATAGAAGAAACCCCTGAGGGGTATGTATATTTATATATATATATGCTTGTATGTGTAGTGCGACAAGTGTAAGTGCAAGTAGCAAGACATACCTGAAACCTTGCATGGGAGGCATGGACGAGATTGGAGAAAGAGAATACATAGTAGGTACACTTCAGTCTGGGGAGCACAAGGTAATCATTGCAGTGATGTATAATCCACCACACAACTGCAGGAGGCCAAGAGAGGGATACGAAGAGAGTAACAGAGCAATGGTGGACGCACTGGCTGAGGTGGCAAGAAGAGCTCACCTGAGCAGAGCAAAGTTACTGGTTATGGGCAATTTCAATCACAGGGAGATCGATTGGGAAAACTTGGAACCACACGGGGGTCCCGAAACATGGAGAGCCAAGATGATGGATGTGGTACTGGAGAACCTCATGCATCATCATATTAAGGATACCACCAGAGAGAGAGGGGAGGTTGAACCAGCAAGACTGGACCTTGTGTTCACCCTGAGCAGTTCAGACAATGAGGACATCACATATGAGAGGCCCCTAGGAGCTAGTGACCACGTGGTTCTATGCTTTGAATACATAGTAGTGTTACAAGTGGAGAGGGTAACAGGAGATGAATGGGAAAAGCCAGACTATAAATGGGGGGACTACATAGGCTTGAGGAACTTCCTGCAAGAGGTTCAGTGGGACAGAGAACTGGTAGGAAAGTCGGTAAATGAAATGATGGAATACATAACAACAAAATGTAAGGAGGCAGAGGAAAGGTTTGTTCTCATGGGCAACAGAAATAATGTGAAGACCATAACGAGCCCCTGGTTTACCCGATGGTGTAAGGAGGAAAAAACTAAGTGCACTAGAGCATGGAAAAAGTACAGAAGGCGAAGAACACAGGAAAATAAGGAGATCAGTCGAAGAGCCAGGAACGAGTATGCACAGGTAAGGAGGGAGGCCCAGCAACAGTATGAAAATAACATAACATCGAAAGTCAAGTCTGACCTGAAACTGCTGTACAGCCATATCAGGAGGAAGACAACAGTCAAAGACCAAGTGGTCAGGCTGAGGAAAGAAGGTGGGGAACTCACAAGTAACGATCACAAGGTATGCGAGGAGCTCAACGTGAGATTTAAGGAAGTATTTACAATAGAGACATGAATGGCTCTGAGAAGACAGCACAGAGGGGAACACCAACAGGGAACATATCAACAGGTGCTAGATGATATACAAACAACGAGGAGGAGGTGCAGAAGCTGCTAAGTGACCTCGATACCTCAAAGGCGAGGAGTCCGGAAAACATCTCCCCGTGGGTCCTTAGAGAAGGAGCAGAGACGCTGTGCGTGCCACTAACCACAGTCTTCAGTACATCCCTTGAAACTGGGCAACTACCTGAGGTATGGAAGACGGAAAATGTAGTCCCTCATTTTTAAGAAAGGAGACAGAAACGAGACACTAAACTACAGACCAGTGTCTCTGACGTGTATAGTATGCAAAGTCATGGAGAAGATTATCAGGAGGAGAGTGGTGGAGCACCTGGAATGAAACACGATTATAAATAACAACCAGCATGGATTCATGGAAGGCAAATCCTGTGTCACAAACCTTCTGGAGTTTCATGACAAGGTAACAGAAGTAAGAAATTAGAGAGAGGGGTGGGTTGATTGCATTTTCCTGGACTGCAGGAAGGCCTTCGACACAGTTCCTCACAGGAGATTAGTGCAGAAGCTGGAGGATCAGGCACGTATAACAGGAAGGGCACTGCAATGGATCAGAGAATACCTGACAGGGAGGCAACAATATGTCATGGTATGTGATGGTAGTAGGTTGGTAGACAGCAACCACCCAGGGAGGTACTACCGTCCTGCCAAGTGAGTGTAAAACGAAAGCCTGTAATTGTTTTACATGATGGTAGGATTGCTGGTGTCTTTTGTCTGTCTCATAAATATGCAAGATTACAGGTACGTCTTGCTACTTCTACTTCTACTTACACTTAGGTCACACTACACATACATGTACATGTTTATTTATACACACTCATCTGAGTTTTCTTTGATTTTATCTTAATAGTTCTTGGTCTTATTACTTTTCCTTTTATATCCATGGGGAAGTGGAATAAGAATCTTTCCTCCGTAAGCCATGCGTGTTGTAAAAGTCAACTAAAATGCCGGGAACAATGGGCTAGTAACCCCTTTTCCTGTAAAGATTACTAAAAAGAATAAGAAGAAGAAAATTGTCAAAGTGGGAAGTCTGAATGTGCGTGGATGTTGTGCAGATGATAAGAAAGAGATGATTGTGGATGTTATGAATGAGAAGAAACTGGATGTCCTGGCTTTAAGTGAAACAAAGCTGAAGGGGGTGGGAGAGTTTCAATGGAGAGGAATAAATGGGATTAGGTCAGGGGTTTCAAATAGAGTTAGAGCTAAAGGAGAAGTAGCAATAATGTTGAAGGATAAGCTATGGCAGGAAAAGAGGGACTACAAATGCATAAATTCAAGGATTATGTGGAGTAAAATAAAGATTGGATGTGAAAAGTGGGTTATAGTAAGCGTATATGCACCTGGAGAAGAGAGAAGTGTAGAGGAGAAGAGAGATTCTGGGAAATGTTGAGTGAATGCGTGGGGAGTTTTGAATCAAGTGTGAGAGTAATGGTGGTTGGGGATTTCAATGCTAAAGTGGGTAAAAATGTTATGGAGGGAGTAGTAGGTAAATTTGGGGTGCCAGGGGTAAATGTAAATGGGGAGCCTTTAATTGAGCTATGTGTAGAAAGAAATTTGGTAATAAGTAATACATATTTTATGAAAAAGAGGATAAATAAATATACAAGGTATGATGTAGCACGTAATGAAAGTAGTTTGTTAGATTATGTATTGGTGGATAAAAGGTTGATGGGTAGGCTCCAGGATGTACATGTTTATAGAGGGGCAACTGATATATCAGATCATTATTTAGTTGTAGCTACAGTTAGAGTAAGAGGTAGATGGGAAAAGAGGAAGGTGGCAACAACAAGTAAGAGGGAGGTGAAAGTGTATAAACTAAGGGAGGAGGAAGTTCGGGCGAGATATAAGCGACTATTGGCAGAAAGGTGGGCTAGTGCAAAGATGAGTAGTGGGGGGGTTGAAGAGGGTTGGAATAGTTTTAAAAATGCAGTATTAGAATGTGGGGCAGAAGTTTGTGGTTATAGGAGGGTGGGGGCAGGAGGAAAGAGGAGTGATTGGTGGAATGATGAAGTAAAGGGTGTGATAAAGAGAAAAAGGTAGCTTACGAGAGGTTTTTACAAAGCAGAAGTGTTATAAGAAGAGCAGAGTATATGGAGAGTAAAAGAAAGGTGAAGAGAGTGGTGAGAGAGTGCAGAAGGAGAGCAGATGAAAGAGTGGGAGAGGCACTGTCAAGAAATTTTAATGAAAATATGAGAAAATTTTGGAGTGAGTTAAACAAGTTAAGAAAACCTAGGGAAAGTATGGATTTGTCAGTTAAAAACGGAGTAGGGGAGTTAGTAGATGGGGAGAGGGAGGTATTAGGTAGATGGCGAGAATATTTTGAGGAACTTTTAAATGTTGAGGAAGAAATGGAGGCGGTAATTTCATGCACTGGCCAGGGAGGTATACCATCGTTTAGGAGTGAAGAAGAGCAGAATGTAAGTGTGGTGGAGGTACGTGAGGCATTACGTAGAATGAAAGGGGGTAAAGCAGCTGGAACTGATGGGATCATGACAGAAATGTTAAAAGCAGGGGGGGATATAGTGTTGGAGTGGTTGGTACTTTTGTTTAATAAATGTATGAAAGAGGGGAAGGTACCTAGGGATTGGCAGAGAGCATGTATAGTCCCGTTATATAAAGGGAAAGGGGACAAAAGAGACTGTAAAAATTATAGAGGAATAAGTTTACTGAGTATACCAGGAAAAGTATACGGTAGAGTTATAATTGAAAGAATTAGAGGTAAGACAGAATGTAGAATTGCGGATGAGCAAGGAGGCTTCAGAGTGGGTAGGGGATGTGTAGATCAAGTGAAGCATATATGTGAACAGTATTTAGATAAAGGTAGGGAAGTTTTTATTGCATTTATGGATTTAGAAAAGGCATATGATAGAGTGGATAGAGGAGCAATGTGGCAGATGTTGCAAGTTTATGGAATAGGTGGTAAGTTATTAAATGCTGTAAAGAGCTTTTATGAGGATAGTGTGGCTCAGGTTAGGGTGTGTAGAAGAGAGGGAGAATACTTCCCAGTAAAAGTAGGTCTTAGACAGGGATGTGTAATGTCACCATGGTTGTTTAATATATTTATAGATGGGGTTGTAAAAGAAGTAAATGCTAGGGTGTTCGGGAGAGGGGTGGGATTAAATTATGGGGAATCAAATTCAAAATGGGAATTGACAGTTACTTTTTGCTGATGATACTGTGCTTATGGGAGATTCTAAAGAAAAATTGCAAAGGTTAGTGGATGAGTTTGAGAATGTGTGTAAAGGTAGAAAGTTGGAAGTGAACATAGAAAAGAGTAAGGTGATGAGGGTATCAAATGATTTAGATAAAGAAAAATTGGATATCAAATTGGGGAGGAGGAGTATGGAAAAGTGAATGTTTTCAGATACTTGGGAGTTGACGTGTCGGCGGATGGATTTATGAAGGATGAGGTTAATCATAGAATTGATGAGGGAAAAAAGGTGAGTGGTGCGTTGAGGTATATGTGGAGTCAAAAAACGTTATCTATGGAGGCAAAGAAGGGAATGTATGAAAGTATAGTAGTACCAACACTCTTATATGGATGTGAAGCTTGGGTGGTAAATGCAGCAGCGAGGAGACGGTTGGAGGCAGTGGAGATGTCCTGTCTAAGGGCAATGTGTGGTGTAAATATTATGCAGAAAATTCGGAGTGTGGAAATTAGGAGAAGGTGTGGATTTAATAAAAGTATTTGTCAGAGGGCAGAAGAGGGGTTGTTGAGGTGGTTTGGTCATTTAGAGAGAATGGATCAAAGTAGAATGACATGGAAAGCATATAAATCTATAGGGAAAGGAAAGAGGGGTAGGGGTCATCCTCGAAAGGGTTGGAAAGAGGGGGTAAGAGGTTTTGTGGGCGAGGGGCTTGGACTTCCAGCAAGCGTGCATGAGCGTGTTAGATAGGAGTGAATGGAGACGAATGATACTTGGGACCTGACGATCTGTTGGAGTGTGAGCAGGGTAATATTTAGTGAAGGGATCAGGGAAACCGGTTATTTTCAATAGTCGGACTTGAGTCCTGGAAATGGGAAGTACAATGCCTGCACTTTAAAGGAGGGGTTTGGGATATTGGCAGTTTGGAGGGATATGTTGTGTATCTTTATACATATATGCTTCTAAACTGTTGTATTCTGAGCACCTCTGCAAAAGCAGTGATAATGTGTGAGTGTGGTGAAAGTGTTGAATGATGATGAAAGTATTTTCTTTTTGGGGATTTTCTTTCTTTTTTGGGTCACCCTGCCTCGGTGGGAGACGACCAACTTGTTGAAAAAAAAAAAAAAAAAAAAATGTGATGAGGTATCACAGTGGGCTCCTGTGATGAGCCGAGTCTCACAGGGGTCAGTCCTAGGACCAGTGCTATTTTTTATATACAGTGGTCCCTCGTTTTTCGTAATTAATCCGTTCCTGGAGCCGTTACTTTAAACGAAATTTACGATTTGCGAATCAATTTTCCCCATAAGAAATAATGTAAATACAATTAATCCGTTCCTGACACCCAGAAGTATTAAAACCAAAAAATTTTTTACATGAAATATACATATAGTACATAAACAATACAATGGGAAATGATGAATGAAACATTAACAGCATAACACTTACCTTTATTGGAGATTCTTCTTAGTGTATGGGAGACTGGAGGAGGAGAGAGATTGGATTGTTTACAGTTTGGAAGGGGAATCCCCTTCCAGCAACACCTCAGGTACCAATTGCTTCTCTGGGGTTGCTTCTCTTCTCTGTTTCTTAATGCCACTAGGACCACCTTGAGAGTCACTCTAGTCCTGTCTCGCAAAGTAACTGGAGAGAGCTCTGTTTCTGGCGTCTCTTTAACACTTCCCGAAAATGGCCCAAGACTTTGTCACTGTACATATTTCTCACCTTCTTTACCACAGGCTTGGCACTAGGAGCTTTCTTTGGAGCCATGGTAGCTTATTTAATAATTGCAGGCACTAAAATGAGTGGAATATTATGAAATATTTCGTAGGAGCACTTGAGGGGACCTTCACTCACTGGTAAACAATGCCAGACTGGCTGGGTAGGGACGCCGCTCTGGCTCACCGTGCGTACGCATTCCAGACGAACTACTATTCGCGAGTCAACCTATGAAAAGCGAGTCCGTGTTTATACGAAAATACCCTTATGATTGGCGAAATTACGATTGCCGAGAACTACGAAAAGCGAGGGACCACTGTATGTGAATGACATGGTGGAAGGGATAGACTCTGAAGTGTCCCTGTTCGCAGATGATGTGAAGCTAATGAGAAGGATTAAATCGGATGAGGATCAAGCAGGACTACAGAGAGACCTGGATAGGCAGGACTACAGAGAGACCTGGATAGGCTGGACACGTGGTCCAGCAACTGGCTTCTCAATTTCAACCCTGCCAAATGGAGAAGATTGGGGAAGGGCAAAGAAGACTGCAGACAGAGTATAGGCTAGGTGGACAAAGGCTGCAAACCTCACTCAAGGAGAAAGATCTTTGGGTGACCATAACACTGAGCACGTCTCCGGAGGCACACATCAACCAGATAACTGCTGCAGCATATGGGCACCTAGCAAACCTGAGAATAGGGTTCCGATACCTTAGTAAGGAATCGTTCAAGACACTGTACACTGTGTACGTCAGGCCCATACTGGAGTATGCAGCACCAGTTTGGAACCCACACCTGGTCAAGCACATCAAGAAATTAGAGAAAGTACAAAGGTTTACAACAAGGCTAGTTCCGGAGCTCAGGGGAATGTCCTACAAGGAAAGGTTGAGGGAAATCGGACTGATGACACTGGGGGACAGGAGGGTCAGGGGAGACATGATAACAACATACAAAATAATGCGTGGAATAGACAAGGTGGACAGAGACAGGATGTTCCAAAGAGGGAACTCAGAAACAAGGGGTCACAATTGGAAGCTGAAGACTCAGACGAGTCACAGGGATGTTAGGAAGTACTTCTTCAGTCACAGAGTCGTCAGGAAGTGGAATAGCCTAGCAAGTGAAGTAGTGGAGGCAGGAACCATACATAGCTTTAAGACGAGGTATGGCAAAGCTCAGGAAGCAGAGAGAGAGATGACCTAGTAGCGATCAGTGAAGAGGCGGGGCCAGGAGCTGAGTCTCGACCCCTGCAACCACAATTAGGCGAGTACAATTAGGTGAGTACAGAGAAGGGACACCAGCAATCCTACCATCATGTAAAACAATTACAGGCTTCCATTTTACACTCGCTTGACAGGACCGTAGTACCTCCCTGGGCTGTTGCTGTCTACCAACCTATTATGTAGGACAAGAGTTATTGTACTTTATTATATACTCTAGGTTGGACTTGGGCAGCTGTACTATCAAGGAGGACGAGGAGTGGAACAAGATCATCAGCGTGCCCTCAACTACTTTGTTCAAGCTGCAGAAGCAGGCAATGCTAATGCTATGGCATTTCTTGGCAAGGTAAATAATATATGATTGAAATATTTTAGGAGTTCTTAAGAGCTCAGATTCTGATTTCACTAAGAGAAAAGGAAAATTTTTATGCTGGAAATTATGTACAGTAACATAGGATGTAGAATAAATGCTTTGTGTACATAATTGCATGCAATCCAATGCCTTTTACTGTACAGAAGGTTGGCACCTGTGATTTGAGTGACCCCCAGTTTTTTTTAATATCTTGCATGGTTGAATGCCAGGATCTGTGAGTTCCCTACAGTATTCTGGAAAAAATACCAAGCCAGGCTCCCAGAACCACATGATTGCTAACAATATTATATTGTTCAATTTGAGATATCCCCTTTGTGTGTGAATTCCTTTCAGATCTAAAGGCTACTAGATGACCAATTCCCATTCCGTACAACTGACACAAAATAGCAGAAACTATCTGATGCCATGGTGATAATACAGGTGCCATACCAGTAAATTGTTTATTCCTGACAAATAAGAGGCCATACGTTGATAGTAAAATAGACAACTGGAATGAAAGTACAAAAGGGAGGCCATGCCATCACAAGAAACTGGAATAAAATTATGGTATATAACAGACTAAAGGTGAAGACAAGACAACACAAGTGTAGTTCTGTCTTTCATTCAAAATATTTACTGTACAATGTTCATAAATAGGTAAACAGACAAGTTATTGCAACAACTGCCCACATACATGTATAAGGAAAATTAATGAGATTAGACACACACAAACAGACATTGATTTTACATCCTTATTGCTCTTGCTTGCCTAAGGTACTGTCTACTGGCCATGAAGAGATCTGTAGTACAGTTCCTATATTTATAAATGACTGAGACTTACTATAGTATTTCTTTTTTAATTGACATTTTCAGGGTGCATTATTAAGTAATCACTGTTCCTAACATGTATTTAATTAAGGCAAAGTTTTCTTTGCTATACTTAATTTAGTTCTTGTTCAATTATTATTGCTTTCAAGTTCTTACCTCTTTAGTGTATGGAATTCAAATTCCGTGATTTGCAAAGTAATGGTACCATCTTGATGCCTGTGTTGTTGACTTTTTCTCTGGTACATATGAAAATTTTTTTTTCTTGTATGCCAACTGCTTATCACCACACCAAATGATGCATCCATATCATCACATCATGTACTACCAGGAGTGTACACCCATTTTTCAGCCTCTTCAATTAACAGTGCATGTTAACTTTTTGCTTATAGCCTGCAGAACCTTCACATGATAAAATAAAAAAAAAAGGCACAATACCATGACTGGAATGATACACAAATAACCTGCACATAGAAGAGAGGAGCTTATGACAACGTTTCGGTCCGACTTGGTCCTCTCTTCTATGTGCGGGTTATTTGTGTACCCTTCACATGAGTCAGGTAGGTGAAGATAGTCTTCAGATTCCCATTTTATGTCAAGCTGCGTGTATGAGTTCCTTCAATTTTGTGTGATAATCACACTAACAAGCCCACAAATATAAAAAATTTTTGTGTGCATGTTAGTGTATTTTTCTATGTTTGAGGGTTAATTTTAGATTGTGTGGTAGGTATATGAGTGTAGTGCATATATTTGTTATTGACAAATACTGAATGACCTTGCTCTAAGGCTCGGTAAATATTAAAACTTTCCAACCCATCTCGTGGTGTTACTACATCCCAGAATTCCTCATCCTTATTAGATAGCACTTTTATATATCTTTATTTCTTTAAGCACAGATGTATCTGGAGGGCAGTTCAGTTGTGAAACAGAGCAATGAGACTGCTCTTAAATACTTTAAGCGTGCTGCTGAACAGAACAATGCAGTTGGTCAAAGTGGTTTAGGCCTATTGTATTTGAATGGTCGTGGAGTATCTCAGGACTACAAGCTGGCACTCAAGTACTTCACACTAGCTGCTGAGCAAGGATGGGTTGATGGACAGCTCCAGCTTGGAAACATGTACTTCAGTAAGTCAGTAAATTTTTTTTTTTAACAAACTCGCCGTATCCCGTATACAGGAGAAGGGGTTACTAGCACCTTGCTTCCAGCATTTTAGTCTCCTCTTATGACATGCATGGCTTATGGAGGAAGAATTCTTTTCTGCTTTCCCATGGAGAAGTCAGTAAACATAAGATAATATTTAGTTCATTATATACTTTGTCCCACCCCTATACATATACAGTAGGACCCCACTTGTATGGCAGGTTAGCTTCCAGACTACCACCGTAAAGCAGAAATTGCTGTAAAGCAGAACGCCATTTTTTCCACTTACAAATGCGTATACAGTAGACTGTTATATTGTACAGTAGGTGCATTCCTGAATATGGAAAAAATAGGGTTATGTTCCTGGGAGCCTCAAAAAAAAAAAAAAGCTTTTTTTTAGACCTCCAGATCATACAAAAAAATGAAGACGGTGTCACCTCGGTTTTTGTGATTAATTCGTTCCAGAAAGTCTAGCGAAAACTGAATTGTACAAAAGCTGAAGCAATGTTTCCCATAAAAATAATGTAAATCCAATTAATCCATTCCAGACACCCAAAAATATTAACAAAAAATACATTTTATAGAGAATAACTATATTTTAACATACAGAAAACAATGAGAAATAAATATAAATGACTAATGAAATGGATAAATGAACATTTAACATCACTTTTACCCTTATTGAAGACTCTTGTTGGCGTATGGAAGATGGAGAGGATTGGAGAGGAAGGAGAGGTTAGTGTTTGGAAGGGGAATCCCCTTCCATAAGGACTTTAGGTATCAAGGCCCTATCCAGGGTTACTTCCCTTCTTTGTCTTTTTGCTTCTTGAATTTGTTGAACCAGTCTCCGCTGGCCTTAAATTCACTAACAGCAGCACTCGTTCCAGGCATTTTGTTTACAAGATCCGCATGCAACTGCCTTGCCTTTTCGCAAATTATCGACTCCAAAACACTATCTCCCGCTAACTGTTTTTCGTTGATCCACACCAACAATAACTTCTCAACATCTTCAATTGTTTGTGATCTCTGTTTTGTTAGCACATTTATCCCTTTAGCAACATCAGCTTCCTTGATTTCTTTTTTCTTCTACAGGATGAAACTGATCGTTGATGTGGATTTCTCATACATCCTGGCAAGCTCGGCCACCCGTATGCCACTTTCGTACTTAACTACGACTTTTTTTAATTCTATCGTGTTTCTTGCCATCTTTATCAAAGGGCTGGCACTAAGAACTTTCTTTGGCCCCATGGTGGCTTATTTAGCAGTTGCACTCGATAAACAAGCACAAAAAGCAATGGATTATTATGAAATGCTTCGGCAGAATGAGCGGGGTGATGCTCGCTCAATGATAAACAAAGGCAGAATGAGTCACTCGGCACTTGAGTGGCCGAGTGACATGGGCGAGCAGGCAGATACATTTGGTACTTACCGTTGTCAACTCTACGAAAACCAAGCTGATATACGAAAACTGGGACAAAATTTTGACAGAAAAAGTCGTCGAAAACCAAATCCTGTGAAAACTGGGGCGTACGAAAACTGAGGTTCCACTGCATGTAATTGTTGTTCATTATTGTGATGTATTATATTGTTTTTATTATTTAAGACTACAAATGCAACAGAAATAATATATTTCTTACCTTAAATTGTGGGTACAGGTGTTTGTCAATGATTTTGAAGAGTGAAGGGTTATGCTGTGGCCCTACTGGGCTGAGGTGGATGATTGAGGTTCTGGTACTAAAGTCGTTGGTTGTGCTGAAGTGTGCATAAATTATGTAGTGGATCTCTGGGCTATTTTACCCTGCAGTACATTATACAGGTGATGGTAAGGCATACAAGAGATTACAACACATTAGAGAGGAGTGAATGAAAACAAGTGTTTTTTAATGGACGTGCTGTTGGAGTGTGAGCATGATAACTTTTATGAAGGGATTTGGGGAATCCGGTTAGCTGGATTTAGTCTTGTATGTGTTAAGTACTTATCCTACGCTCAGGAGGAGTGAGGATGTTGAAGGGCTTGCAACAATGTTTTCTAGGTGTGCTTCTGGCAAGATAGCTGTTGAATGAGTGATGGTGAATGTATGTTTTCTTTATTTTCACCTTGCCTTGGTGGGAGATAGCTAATATCAATCCTTTGACTGTATTGGTCGTATATATACGTCTTACGAGCCAGTGTTTCGGACGTATTAATACGCATAAATTCTAGTGGCTTCAACTCGACCAGGAGGAAGCTGGTAGGCCCACATGTGAGATAATGGGTCTGTGTGGTCAGCGTGCACCACATAAAAAAAATCCTGCAGCACGTAGTGCATAATGAGAAAAAAAAAACTGACAGTTTTTTTGGATTAAAACGCCGACTTTGAGCTGTATTTACGTATAGTATTTATTGTTGTATTCTCATTTTCATGGTCTCACCTGATAAAATGGAAATCATGTTACAGAAATAGAGATGATTTTGATTAGTTTTATGATGAAAATGACCTTGAAATTGAGCTCAAAGTAGCGGAAATGTTCGATTTTTACCAATGTTCAGGAGTAAGGAAATCACACCACGCGTCCAATACACGTCAACTGGGGAGTCTAATATTCTTTCACTAGTGCACTGATATTATTTATACCATTTTTGCAATAATGCAGTAGTCTGCATGACAGTAAATTTTGTATTTTTTGTATGAGTAAAAAATCAAAATAGAAAACAATAGTAATATAAGAGGGGCCTAGAGACGTGGCTAATGAACAGAGGATATGTTATTTTAGTGCCAAGAATGTCTACATTGTTTATTCTGGACCCTATTTTGAAAGTGGCATCTTTTTTAATTTGCGTGAAATTGGCCAAATTGCCAATTTCTGACCACTTTATTGGGTAGTTCAGATCGGTAAATGGGCAGTTTCTTGTACTCAGCTAATAGAAAAAATGGAGTTCTAAAGAAATGGCTGTGAGTTTGGTCAACTGGAACAACGGAATTGGCCAAAAGCAGGGCTCAAAGTCGGCGAAATCGCCAATGCGTATATGTCACTGAGACTGCTAACTTCGCGGGAGCATAATTCCATGAGTTTTCGACCAAATTTCATACTTTTGGTGTCATTACCATCGGGAAAAGATTCTCTATCATTTCATTAGAAAAAATAATTTTTTTTCTCCAAAAATTGTGCAACATAGAATGACAGTTTCAGAAAGGGGCTTGTGACAGTCAAAGGGTTAAAAAAAAGCAGTTAGAATGTGAGCAACATTGAATGTTTTCTTATTATGTCATCTTGAGTGGGTGGGAAATGGCTCAAAATAATAATAATATTTTTATTAACACTTCGGATGATTCCCACCAAGGCGGGGTGTCCCGAAAAAGAAAACTTTCATCATTCACTCCATCACTGTTTTGCCAGAGGAGTGGTTTACACTACAGTTATAAAACTGCAACATTAACACCCCTCCTTCAGAGTGTAGACACTGTACTCCCATCTCCAGGACTCAAGTTCGGCCTGCCGGTTTCCCTGAATGCCTTCATAAATGTTACTTTGCTCACACTCCAACAGCACATCAAGTATTAAAAACCATTTGTCTCCATTCACTCCTATCAAATACGCTCACACACGCTTGCTGGAAGTCCAAGCCCCTCGCACACAAAACCTCCTTTACCCCCTCCCTCCAACCCTTTCTAGGCCGACCCCTACCCTGCCTTCCTTCTACTACAGACTTATCCACTCTCGAAGTTGTTCTGTTTTGTTTTTATTCTCTCTACATGTCCGAACCACCTCAACAACTCCTCCTCAGCCTTCTGGATAATAGTTTTGGTAATCCCACACCTTCTAATTTCCAAACTACGAATTCTCTACATTATATTCACACCACACGTTGTCCTCAGACATGACATCTCCATTGCCTCCGGCCTTCTCCTCGTTGCAACATTCATCACCATGCTTCACACTCATACAAGAGTTTACCTGGAGTTTACCTGGAGAGAGTTTCGGGGGTCAACGCCCCCGCGGCCAGGTCTGTGTTGGCTGGCTCTCTCTCTCTCTCTCTCTCTCTCTCTCTCTCTCTCTCTCTCTCTGTCTGTCTCTGTCTCTGTCTCTGTCTCTGTCTCTGTCTCTGTCTCTGTCTCTCTCTCTCTCTCTCTCTCTCTCTCTCTGTCTCTCTGTCTCTCTCTCTCTCTCTTGTCTCTCTCTCTGTCTCTCTGTCTCTCTCTCTGTCTCTCTGTCTCTCTCTCTGTCTCTCTCTCTGTCTGTCTCTCTGTCTCTCTCTCTGTCTCTCTCTGTCTCTCTCTCTGTCTCTCTCTCTCTCTCTCTCTGTCTCTGTCTCTCTCTCTGTCTCTCTCTATATCTCTCTATCTTTAAATATATATATATATATATAAAATATATATATATATATATATATATATATATATATATATTTAGAGAGAGATAGAGATAAAGAGAGAGAGAGAGCCAGCCAACACTCTTGTATGAGTGTGAAGCATGGTGATGAATGTTGCAACGAGGAGAAGGCCGGAGGCAATGGAGATGTCATGTCTGAGGACAACGTGTGGTGTGAATATAATGCAGAGAATTCGTAGTTTGGAAATTAGAAGATGTGGGATTACCAAAACTATTATCCCATTTCCAGGACTCAAGTCCGACTATATGAAAATAACCGGTTTCTCTGAATCCCTTCACTAAATATTACCCTGCTCACACTCCAACAGATCGTCAGGTCCCAAGTACCATTCGTCTCCATTCACTCCTATCTAACACGCTCATGCACGCTTGCTGGAAGTCCAAGCCACTCGCCCACAAAACCTCCTTTACCCCCTCTTTCCAACCCTTTCGAGGACAACCCCTACCCCTCCTTCCTTCCCCTATAGATTTATATGCTTTCCATGTCATTCTACTTTGATCCATTCTCTCTAAATGACCAAACCACCTCAACAACCCCTCTTCTGCCCTCTGACTAATACTTTTACCAACTCCACACCTTCTCCTAATTTCCACACTCCGAATTTTCTGCATA